CGGGTGGGGCGGGGGCTGGACAGAGGTGGCTCTTGGCAGGCGGGGCACAAACACATGCCACTTTTCTTACAGCCTCAAGTCTCTGGTCCTGGCAGCCCTGCAGAGAGAGACAGAGTAAGTGCCTACCGCCTTTTCTCAGGATCCTAACTCCAGATTGAGACCCTCTCTAGGTTTCAGCTTTCTCTTTGAGCTTTAGGTTGAGACTTGGGGACAGGAACTGCAATTCTGCACTGAGATACAGCTGAGTTCTAAGGCTGGGTTGAAGATTAAAGCTCTTGAGAGTGGATGATGATGATCTGTCAAACTAGAGACAGAAGAATGAGACTGAAATTTAGTCTACTTGAGGCGGAACTCACCAGATTAGAGACACACACACACATATACCATCCCCCCCAGTGCTACCGGGCTCCCTGTGAGCTGCTGTTTCATTCATCCCATCTTGGCAAAGACCCTGTGTCCACAACTCCTGAGGGCTTTTCTCCTGATCACTCAATGGAGCCTGGGATGCCATGTCAGTGGAGGCTGTTTGAGGGTGATTGCAAGGTTGTCTTGTTTTTGCAGGCACTGTGTGAGCCTCAGCCTGGCACAGCTCTCAGCCACTATTTTTCGGAAAGAAGGCCTGGAGGCCTGGCCTCAGCTCATGCAGCTTCTTCAGCACAGTACTCACAGCCCCCAGATCCCTGAGAGAGAGGTAACATTGCACTGTTGGCAGGAGGGAGAGACCAAGAGACTAGGTAGGCTAAGTAAGCTTTTCCCTCCTACCCTCTGTTTCTGGCCAGGTGGGGCTTTTGTTGCTGAGTGTGGTGGTGACTTCCCAGCCTGAGGCCTTCCAGCCTTACCACCGAGAGCTTCTTCAGCTTCTGAATGAAACTCTTGTCGAAGTGGGCTCTCCTGGGCTATTGTTTTACTCACTGCGCACTCTGACCACGATGGCTCCCTACCTCAGCACTAACAACACGGTGAGACATGGACCCTCAACTCCCTGGCTCCATATCCTTAGGCCTTCCTGTTCTCAGCCTTATAGATTTCAGGGATACTTCAAATTCTTACCCTGCCTTTTGTTTTTGCTAACAGTTAAAAGGGGTGCCTGGGCCTGATGGGGTTCCTGGGCTGCTTCTCTTTGAGAGTCAAAGTATGAGGAAGCTATCAGCTTCTGGGTCCTGAGATTAGGCTGCTTCATGCTTTCTGTGATTCACCTTATCCTGTGTTCCTCAGCCTCTTGCACGGATGTTGGTGCCCAAGCTCATTGTGGCTGTGAAGGCTCTGATCCCCATAGATGAGGTAAAGACAGGTGGGAAGGAGCTGCTTCTGTTGGAGGAAACTTGCAGGGGCTTCCACGCTGGTCCCCTGAAGACTGGGATGACAACCCTGTGACTTGTCTAACAGGTAAAGGCCTGTGAGGCTCTGGAGGCCCTGGATGAACTGCTGGATTCACAGGTGCCCATCATTACCCCACACCTCTCTGAGGTTGTGTCATTCTGCCTGGAGGTGAGCTGAGGGTAGGCACGGCCTTTGCTGCCTGTTCTGGCTGTTTTCTCGTTTGCCTCTGATTCTCATTAGTCTCTGGGCAGGTGGCTAGAAATGTGGCCCTGGGTGAGGCAATACGTGTGCGTATTCTCTGCTGCCTCACTTTCTTGGTCAAAGTCAAGAGCAAGGTGAGTGCCGCCGGTGTATACAGCCAAACCCCCCACCCCCCACCCCGCACACACACCTGTATTCCCACTGCTAGGGCTTCTGTTCATTTCCAGGAATCTAAAATATCCTGATTCAAGCCCAGTTCTTGCCTGGGAGGTTGGGAGTTTCCCACTGAACTCTTGTTGGCTGAAAGACTAGAATTTTGCATTCAAGCCCATCGTAGGAGCAGATTCTCAGGAACACTGCTCCCTTTTTCCTCTCTAGGCCTTAATGAAAAATCGTCTTCTGCCTCCTTTGCTGCACACCCTTTTCCCCATTATGGCTGCTGAGCCCCCGCTGGGCCAGTTGGATCCAGAGGACCAGGATTCTGAAGAGGAAGAACTGGAGATTTGGCTGGTGGGGGAGACTCCCAAGCACTTTGCTGTACAGGTGGGATGTGGGGCAGGGGCAGGGATGAGTGTAAGTGGCTACGAGAGGTTGAGGAAGCAAAACTGGAGTCCTGCATTTTCCCTGATATTTCTCAGGTTGTGGACATGCTGGCACTACACCTCCCCGCTGAGAAGCTCTGTCCCCTGCTCGTAAGTATGGCTCTCTCCTGGTGTCCCTACTGCCAGGGGTGCCTGGTTACCCGAGACCAGGGTTGTTTGGGCCCTGGTAGGTGTGATGGGCCTCTTGCCGTAGGAATGGGCAGGCCCTTGCTGGGGTTTCTGGAGGGTGCCACATGCTCCCCTAGATGCCCATGCTGGAAGAGGCCTTGCGGAGTGAGAGTCCTTATCAGCGCAAGGCTGGGCTACTGGTGTTGGCTGTGCTGTCGGACGGGGCTGGTGACCACATCAGGCAGAGGTATGCATTCAGTCTTGGTCCCAGTGTGAGGGTGGGCCTTGGGGAAAAGTGTTGTGCATCCCATGCCAATCCTGGTCCACTTGCTGGAGCTCAATTATTAACAGCATTAATTAGCTGTTGCAGTTCTCATTCTTAACAATGTGCAGTTTGGAAGATAAATGAAGTGACCTTCCAGCTGCAGGACCAGGGGATGATGCCTACCATCTGGTGACAGAAAAAACTTTGGTTTTTCTAGGGAAAATGAAGAAGATAGGTCAGCCTAAGGCTCTTACTTCCTGTCGCTGAGATTTTGTCCTCTTCTCCCACCCTGCAGACTGCTGCCCCCACTGCTGAAGATTGTGTGTAAGGGCTTGGAGGACCCTTCGCAGGTTGTTCGTAATGCTGCGCTGTTTGCCTTGGGTCAGTTCTCAGAGAACCTACAGGTCAGCAAGGCTAAATGAAGCTGCCATTGGAAGAGTCCCTGACCTGTACCAGGGACCAAGTTCCCATCAACTTTCATCTCTTCAAGCATCCTTGCTGCCATTGGCACGCAAGGGTGTCCCCTGGAGGTGAACCTAACTTGGCCTCCACTTGCTCCTTCCCTCAGCCCCATATCAACAGCTACTCAGGAGAGGTGATGCCACTGCTCCTGGCCTATCTGAAGTTGGTGCCTCTGGGGCATACACACCATCTAGCCAAGGCCTGCTATGCCCTGGAGAACTTCGTGGAGAACCTAGGTAGTGATAGCAGTGAAGACAGCAGAGGAGGGGATGAAGCCGTGTCTTTGGGGGGCAGAATATGTTTCCCTAAATCTACTGCCTATGGTAGGGAGAGGGGCATAGAAGGGCTGCAAGAAAGTCAGCTTGGAGGGGCTGGGAATGTAGCTCAGTAGTGTCACGCCTGCCTGGCAAATTCAAGGTCCTGAGTTTGATTCTCAGTACTGGGGAGAAAAAAGAAAAGAAAGAGCTTGACAGGAGGTAGACTTGCAGAAAGTCAGAGACCTGGGTTGGGTGGTGAAGGAGTGCCCTTTCCCACAGGGCCCAAAGTGCAGCCCTACCTTCCGGAGCTTATGGACTGTATGCTTCAGCCTTTGAGGAACCCCAGCAGCCCCCGGGCCAAGGAGCTGGCTGTGAGTGCCCTGGGGGCCATCGGTAAGGAGAAAGAGGCAGGAGATGAGGGCATAGGATTTATCCAGTGAGCCTTTGGCAGGTGGTCTCTGCCCCCTTTCCAGCTCTGATTCTACCTTTCCAACCTGCAGCCACAGCTGCCCAGGCCTCCTTGCTGCCCTACTTCCCCAGCATTGTGGAACATCTTCGAGAATTCCTCTTGGCAGGACATGAAGACCTTCAGCCTGTACAGATCCAGAGCCTAGGTGAGTGAGGGGTTCCCAGGCAGGGGCCCTCCTGCCAGGGGAGGACCAGTGTTCGCCTAGTATTGATGGAGCACTCTCCCAGGGCAGCACAGTGTCTTCCTTCCCAAGGAAGAAGGCGTTCTCCATGCTATACCTGCGAGTGGGGTAGAATTTCTAACTCCTCCCAGCTGCCATTTCTGGTCCCTTAGCCCACCTGTGTGTCTAGGTGCTAACTGAGCCCTTGTCCCCACAGAAACACTGGGGGTGCTGGTACGAGCAGTGGGGGACCCCATGAGACCTCTGGCTGAGGAATACTGTCAGTTGGGGCTGGCCCTGTGTAGCCAGGTAGACGACCCTGACTTACGACGCTGCACGTGAGTGACTCCCTCATCCTGCTCCTGCCCACCACTGGATCCACGGTCCCTATCCAGACTCCATCCTCTGATTTTGGGCCACAGCCAGGATTCCCTGAGATCTCCCATCCTGTCTGGCTCCAGCAGGTAGCCCCATACAGCTCCTGTTTGTCTCTAATAGATACAGCCTATTTGCAGCCTTATCGGGGCTGATGGGTGAGAGCCTGGCATCCTACCTGCCACAGATCACCACGCTCATGCTGTTGTCACTGCGTTCCACTGAGGGCATTGTGGTGAGCAGAGGGTGGCCATTGGCTGGGCCTTTTAGACAAGGGTAGCTCTGTGCTGAGTCTTACTGCCTGGGCCCAGCTGAGTCAGAGCTCCTGCTGTCTGCTATCCTCTTTCATCCAGCCTCAGTATGATGGAAGCAGCTCCTTCCTTCTGTTTGATGATGAGAGCGATGGGGAGGAAGAGGAGGAACTCATGGATGAGGATACAGAAGAGGAGGATGACTCTGAGATCTCAGGGTACGGAAGGTGCTTAGAGAAGTTCAGGCTTTGACAAGGGGCCAGTGCTGCTCTGCTACTGGTACCTGATTGCCGTCTGCCTTCCCACCTTCCCACCTCCTCTAGGTACAATGTGGAGAACGCCTTCTTCGATGAAAAGGAAGACACCTGTGCTGCCCTGGGGGAGATCTCTGTGAACACTAGGTGAGAACCAGCCCTTTCTTGGCACTGGGAACCTTCCCTAGTAGTGCTTTTCCCATGGCTGTGTGTCTGTCCACAGTGTGGCCTTCCTTCCATACATGGAGAATATTTTTGAAGAAGTGTTCAAGCTGTTGGAGGTAAGCTGGCTAGTGGGTAGGATGGATGGGACTGTGCCTGTGTTGACCCTGTACCAGTAAGCACGCACCTGCCCTCTTCGTTACTCAGTGTCCTCACCTGAATGTGCGGAAGGCAGCCCATGAGGCTCTGGGTCAGTTCTGCTGTGCACTCCACAGGGCGTGTCAAAGCTGCCCCTCAGAACCCAACAGTGCTGGTGAGAAGGGGAGGCCAGGTCATGCTGGGAACTCTGGAGGAAGGGACAGGGCCTGACTGGGGCTTCAGCCAATAATGTCCCCAGCTCTGCAGGCTGCTCTGGCACGGGTGATACCATCTTACATGCAGGCAGTGAATGGGGAACGGGAGCGCCAGGTGGTGATGGCCGTGCTGGAGGCCCTGACGGGAGTGCTGCACAACTGTGGGGCCCTCACACTGCAGCCACCTGGGCGCCTTGCTGAGCTCTGCAGCATGCTCAAGGCTGTGCTACAGAGAAAGGTGAGCAGGGCAGGGACTGTGGAAGGAGGAGGTGCGGGGCCCCAGAGGAGTGGCTAGTCAAGTACAAATCCAGCTCCTTGTATCCCTCCACCCCCAAAGGGGAAAGGGCAGGAGGTCACAGGCTTAGCTGAGCTATGTCTTCCTACAGGTAGCCTGTCAGGACACTGATGAGGAAGAAGAAGATGACAATCAGGTGAGAGCTATGGATAACAACAGGCGAGGCAGTCCGGGCAGCCAGGGTAGACAGCACAGTCAGCTGGGCCCCAGGGAAGCCAGAGCTGCTGGGAGAAATTGGTAAGGGCCAGAATGATTCAATTCTGACACCACTGAGGCAGTGGACTCGGGCGGGCTTGAAGTGATAGGCAGAGCAGGAGAACCGGGCTGCAAAAAAGCCCAGTCTGGAAGCATGGCAGTCCATGAACCAAGGCAACTCTTGGAGCCCTCGTGGCCCATGGCAGAGCCAAGTGGAGAGGTGCATAGTCAGAGCTGGGCCAGGTGCTCTAGCTCCTGACCTGGCTCCACAGGCGGAATACGATGCCATGTTGCTGGAGCACGCTGGAGAGGCCATCCCTGCCCTGGCAGCTGCAGCTGGGGGAGACACCTTTGCTCCTTTCTTTGCTGGCTTCTTGCCATTTTTGCTATGTAAGACGGTGAGTGTTTCCTCTTCTGCCTTCAGACCCAGCCCACCCATGCACCCAGTGCCCACCGTGCACTGTGTCCCGGTCCCAGGCTCATTTGCAACCCTGCCCTTGCCCACAGAAACAGAGCTGCACAGTGGCAGAGAAGTCCTTTGCAGTAGGGACACTGGCAGAGTCCATTCAGGGTCTGGGTGCTGCCTCAGCACAGTTTGTATCCCGGCTGCTCCCTGTGCTATTGAGCTCGGCCCAAGAGGCAGATCCTGAGGTGCGAAGCAATGCCATCTTTGGGCTGGGTGTCCTGGCAGAGTTCGGGGGCCGCCCTGCTCAGGAGTATCCTTGGTTTGCAGGACTGAAGGGTGGGGCTGGGCGAGGGTTCCCCGGGCTGGGGGATGGATGAGGTCTACCTGTGTGTCCTTGACCAAGGACCAGCCACTTCCCCAAGCTGCTGGGCCTCCTTTTGCCCCTCCTGGCACGTGAGCGACATGATCGTGTCCGTGACAACATCTGTGGAGCTCTTGCCCGCCTATTGATGGCCAGTCCAACAAGGAAACCAGAGCCCCAGGTGAAGAGAGGGCATCAGGCAGGAGGGTGGTAGAGGGGACAGGATTTGAGGCCTGAAGCCTCTGTGTGTCCAGGTGCTGGCTGCCTTGCTGCATGCCCTGCCACTGAGGGAAGACTTGGAGGAATGGGTCACCATAGGGCACCTCTTCAGCTTCCTGTACCAGAGCACCCCTGACCAGGTAACCTTGATGCTGGCAGCCCTCGGGCTCAGTGATACACAAAGGTGCTATCAGCTGTGGCTGGTGCAGGGTTTCAGCCATCCTTTGACATACCTAACATAGCTGTTTTATTTGTCTGCTGGGATTGGCAGCCAGCCCTGTAATGAGAGAAGCGGCTTCCTTTCCCCACAGTACTTTTCCTCAGTGAGCTGCCTTTCTACCCTTTGCCCTGAGCCTGTAATGGCGACTTCCCTACATTAATTTCCTAAGCCAGGGAACTGTTCTGGAGCCTGGGTACCTCTGGGCTACCCCCAGTGTATATTTCAATCAGAGAAGCTGTGCTTTCTGAGTGAAGTTTTGCAAATAACTGTATTTGGACTCAGTGTACCAGTGTTTTTGTGTCACAGCTTTAGAGTTGTGGTTTTTGTTTTTTTGAGTCTGTCTTATTGTAGCGTGCCTGGTGTCCAGGCTTCTTTTGGTCTTGAGGCTATGACTATAGTCACACGTCTCCTCTCCTCCAAAAAGTTATTACTGTGTTCTTATTCCTTCTCATATCCACATTTGTCTTGGATGCCTGTTGACTCATACTGGGCTCAAACAGCCCTGCTGGGAGCCTGCCTGTCCTCGGTCCTTACCACGCACCCACCACAGTGGCCCAGGGCTGCTATTGCCCCTGAATTGATCACTCTTTCCCACAGGTTGTGGATGTGGCTCCAGATCTCTTGCGCATCTGCAGCCTCATACTACCTGACGACAAGATCCCACCAGGTGAGGGTGGCAGGCATGGGCAGGGGCCGGGGGGAGGCTGAGACTAGCAGGGCTCAAAGGGCATGGGGCAGTCAAGGTTTGGAGTCCAGTCCCCTCTGTAATCTCTCCCTGTGCTCTCTCCCCAGACACCAAGACCGCACTGCTGCTGCTGCTGACATTCCTGGCCAAACAGCACGCTGACAGCTTCCATACAGCGCTGAGCTTACTCTCTGCTGACAAGGCTCAAGAGCTCCAGGCCATTCTGAGCCTCACCTAAACTTCAGAGAGAGCTGAGCCTGCCCAGGCCATAAGACCACCTCTCGCCCAGTTCCAGCTCACACCTTACCAAAGATTCTGGGCCTCATCTCCATTTGGAGCCAGCCCTGCTTGCTGCCTTACATGGGTGTCGTTGGGGTTGGGTCGGTTACAAGTAGAGTCATGCTATCAGATTGTAATAAAAGCAGTTTGTTTTCTGCTTGGACAGTAGCTCTGTGAGCAGGCAGGCTAGAGATGCACATCTAGAAATGAGTCAGGCAGGCCCAGTGAGACAGGACATGGTTTAATGAAGCCAGTTTCTTAGCAGCCTTGTACACAGGCTCTATCCACAGTGGAATCTGGGCCCAGGCCGAATCAGGAGGCGCCCATATGGCTCCTCTTGTTCCACAAGAAAAATCTGCTGTGCTGAGAGCACTAGGAAAAAGAAGAGAAAAACTTTGTGTGTGTGTGTGGTACCAGGGATCGAACTCAGGTCCTTGCGCTTGCGAGGCAGGTGGCAGAACCACTGACCCAAATCCCCGGCTGAGAAAAACTTTTAAATGAATAAGAGGCAAAAAGTTTTTTAAAAAGCTGGCTGTGGTAGTGCATGCCTGTAATCCCAGTACTTGGGAGGCTGGGACAAGGAGGATCGCTATGAATTCGAGACCAGCCTAGATTACATAGTGAGTTCCAGGTCAGTCTCAACTACATAGTGAGACCCTAGGCTGGGCATGGGGCACATGCCTGTAATCCCAGTACTTGGGAGGCTGAGGCAGGAGGATCACTGTGAGTTTGAGACCAGCCTGGGCTGCTTAGTGAGTTCCAGGTCAGTACATAGTGAGACCCTGTCTCAAAAACACCAAAAAAAAAAAAAAAA